TACGCATATGCGATCGTAAAACGTATTTTAATTTCCACATCCTGCTTTCAACATGATAAAGTGCCTTATAGATGTGTTAAGACCCTAATATGAGTGTGCAGACTTTTTATGTAAAACCTTGAACAAATTTATCATTATTTTTATGCGGCTTTTCTTACACGATTTCTCATAAAAATATTTAAAAAGGTTTTATAATCATTTTAGTAACAGTTTTTCTATAGGAACATTTGTAAAAACTTTAATAAAGACCAAAAATTTCCTGTAATAATTTTTGAATATTTTCGCATAGATTTTCAGACAATTATTAACTTTACATTAAATAAATTTAAGTAGCTTATATATATATTTTATGTTAACTATTACACTAAATTTAAAAAATCTAAACTTTTCTCATTGTCAAAATAAGGCTATAAAATGGTAAAAGTAAATAAAAGTAACATTGTATCAAATATTTTCTACCTATAATAATAATTATTATAATTAAAGGTAATGTAGTGTGTTTTGTATTGAATATGATGTTTTTGTTTTCTGAATTACTGATTTTGTAGAAAAATAATTATATTTGTATTGCACTTTCCTCCGGTTTTTCCTGGCTAAGCTCCCCTTGCGCAATCCGTGCTTTTAGCTCGAACAAGTGCCGGGTGTGTGGGTGTGTGTTAATTTTTCACCAATTGTCATGGTTACGAAATTAACCAAAAATGCAGAGAAAACAGGGCTAGGATCCGGGCGCAGATCCTCTGAGGAAAGCGGGCAAACAAGCCAGTATCCCAGCAGCCAGCAGCGAGTTGCAACCAGCAAATGTGGCAGTGGCAGTGTGGCAACAACATGAACAGCAAAGCACACATCCTGTGTGTCAACTGAATAATTCGTTGCATGCACAAAAGGCATGCACTCACATCCGGTTTCCTGTCATTCTTTTTGCTTTCAGCTTGCCAGAGACAGAAAGGGCCAGCCAACCAGTACGTACTGTACAGTACTACTGCGAAGGGGAATGAAAATGGGTATGGGAATGGGTTCAGAGTGCAAAGGGGTAAAAAAGAGTGGAGTGGACGAAGCCTGCAATTTATGTCTATGTATTTGCTGTTGTTGTCTTTATGGCGTGTTCGGTATTTGTTGCAACTTTTGTTTTGAATTCCTGCGGCCTTGTCACACGGCTCCATGAGTTCGCAGTTAAATTTATGTTGCATCCCACAGACACACTCACCCACACAGGCCCAACTCTTAACGAACAATGAGCAGTGCTGGAAAAAAAAACAAAAAGTGCATAGAGGGGCTCGTAGGGTCATAGGTCTTCTGGGGGCTGCAGGATGGCGACGCGTTGCCCGCTTTTGTAAAGCAGCGTATAATCCACTGATTGCTCCCAAGGTTCAGCTTTCAACAATGAAGGACGCAGCAGCACATATACACCGAGCGAAAATGCGGGGGTGAAAAGGTGAAAGATGGGGCAGTGCGGCGGAGAAGAGTGATGACGGGACAGGTTGCGAGAACCTCAGCTATAGCTGTCGGGTCAACGGATGTGCTGCACTGTGCCATCATATGGGGTCCATTAGCTATTTTAAGTAAATATTCTTCATTATTGATTTAAAATGGTAGAATTTTTCTAAGAATTTAGATAGATTGTAGATTAACAAGGTTAAAAGCTCAATATAATTTCGTATTTAATTATTCCAGTGAGTATCCAGTTTTTGAGATTGATTTTGTAAGAAATTTTATTTACCACATTTTTAAAGTAAGCCATACAACGTATTAACTTCTTTATTTATGAAACATAAAATTCAGTTTTCGTAAAAAATATTGTAATTGTAAATTTAGTACCTTAATCATCTTAAAACAGCTCATTTAAAATAATTAAAATCTGATTAAAAATAGTATCGTTGTGATTAAAAAGATATAATATATTTGATTTTTTCCATTATTTTTTTTAAATTACAAAAAAATCTCTTTAAATTGTGATAGCGTTTTTTTTAATTTTTTTAGTAAGGGTATTAAATTTGTGCAAGAACTTTATATCCTTTGTACCCCTTGGACCAACACATCCTGCAATTCTTGGCGTCCTTTGTGTGTCCGCTGAATGACATCGCACCTGGCCTGGTCGAGGCTTGAACTTTCCATACCCAAAGTCCCCATCTGAAGGCTCCCTAGCCGGTATTAATTTTGCATATGAATACGATCACTATGGACCACTGGATGTGTCCTTGTTGTCGGAATAGCGCAATGCCACTGCTCCTGCTACTTTTCCCTGCGATGCCATATTCAGGCAGCTACTTTTCTTCGTACTCGCATCATGTTTATTGCAGGCAATAAATTTAAAAAAAATTCTATCTAAACCCATCACACATTGCCATCTTTGTGACAAGCACTTTAAGCTGTGGAAAATAGGGGGCATTTGGGAGCAAAGCTCGAATTTCCCATCAATTTCGTTTGAAGCGTTATCGTAGGTTAATTAGCTGACGCAGTCGGCTCATTAGCAACACGAGATGGAAAACGAAGGACTTCCTGAATACCAGAGACAAGTTAAAGAAAAATTGGCAGCTGTTTAACTTAAATCCCAAAAAAACAAACAAAAACATGCAAGGAACAAAAGATTTGAGTTTTCATGTTTTAAAATTGATGAGATTTTTATCCCTTTTAAAATTGTATTATAATTTTAGGTTTTTAATATCACTGGATAATATATTTAATATTTTAAAGCATTTTTATAAGTGTTTTCCCTGGAAAGCCCTCTTATTTGGTATATGCTTATTTGTAAAGTCCATAGATTCCATATGCAATGAGTTCAGGATTTTCCAAACCCAAGCACTCGATGTTTTTGCTGCTGATTTCCATTTTCTATTGCCTGGTGGCTTCATTAGGCAGCACCCAAGTAAATCAAGTCAGGCCTGCAAACGTAGCAGAATGGAGCAGAAAAATTAAAATGATATATACTATGTATGCACATCCTGAACCAGATATTTTTCTTCCAAACACGCACATACTCACATGCAAGTATGTTCACCTGGAAAAAGGGGTAAAATAAAGCTGCCAGCTCGGCAGTTGCATTGCATTTAAGTAAAATGAATTGCTTGCAATTTATTTTTGTTGCTTATCATATAAATTGCACTCGCTCGCCTGCAAGTCATTATTTGGCACATTTGCGCTCAATGACTGCACATTGTTTCTACATCGTCCCCATCCTCCTTATCGAGGCCCTTCTCTTCCAGCCACAGTGTTAAGTAGGAGTGACGAACCGGAAGTTTCCAGATACAACAACTGCTGACCCAGTGGGGTTGGGTGGCTTTGGCCAGGTTGGCCCAAATAGACCTGACCGGTTGGTCTTTTGCACTTGACTGCATCTTTAACCTTCTGCAGGAGCAGAATTCGAAGACACCTGAAATGCCACTTAAGCATTTCCAGTTCCTTTATTTACCCACTCCACCCAATGCCCACTCAAATAAATTTCCGGTTGTTTTTCCACATTTTTGATTTACACATTCTTATGTGGAGTGTATTGATAAAATATATTTTTACAAACTACAAATACAGCCCAATACAGCATCGTTACTGGACTGAATTTAGTGTGATATAAATAGGTACTGAAATGATATTTAAACCAGATTAAAAAAAATGTTGAAATGAAAACGTTGGGCAAGACTAAACCAACAGTACATAAAAACAAAATATTTTCAACATTATATTAAAATCAACAGATTTAATAAAATATTAATAGAAATTTAATTAAATAAACTCCCAAATAAATGCGACAAATTCACCAATACATCTGATAATACATTTTAGATTCAATTGATGAAAGTAATTCAATAACAAAATCTTTGAATATGTTGCTACATATATTTTAATTATTGTGCAGTGACTTATATTTGGTTTCATGTTGCCCAATTGGGAACCTTATCTTTCGGTTCCCCGGCGATTTAGTATATAAGCAAGCTTGGCGCTCCCAGCAGATTCATAACATCATTTTACGTAGCGACAATGGACTTCAAGTGCTGCGTAAGTTTGCTCAGAGCTTATTTGGGCGATTGTGATTAGTAATACTTCTTTGCAGCTGCTTTTCCTATCGCTATTGCTTGCTGGCGCTGTGGCGCGTCCAGAGCCAACCACGCCCACTACGCTGCCGCCCTGCACGCCATGGTGCGCCGGACAACCCCCACCGCCCCCCGGAGCCGTAAACTAAGTCCTATGGTCGATAACTTGGTATTTTAGCACAGCTTTTAATGTCATTTATTGTGAAACGAATGCATTTTGAAAAAATAAACAACTAGTGCACCAAAACAAAATATGTCCAATATTAATAACAGTAAAAATTTTAAATATTAACTTCTTCACTAAAAATCGCGAAAAATTTGCAAATAAATGTAATATTTAACAAAATAAAAATCCAAATTAAAGATAAAAAACTATTTAGTTTTTAAATATTAAGAGCTAAGTGATTTTTTGGCCCGAAAAATAATAAAGGACACCCATTAAAGCAGTGAATTTTATTTACATTGATTATTTGCTGATTTTCAAACGCTAATGATTTCTTGTATTATTTGAAATTAAATTTATGGTTCAGAGTTTCAGATTGGGCACAGACGAAATTAATTAGATTAAATCTCCAACTGAGTAAATGCTAAATACAAAAAAAATACCCATACTCTGATAATGATTTAAATTATTATATAGCCCGGCCATGTTAGAGGAACGATTTTTAGAATAGAAACTTGGTATTGAAGCACACCTTTTAATGTCATCTATTGTAAAACGAATGCATTTGAAAAAAAAAACAAGCAGTACATCAAAACAAAATATTTCCAATTTAAAATCAGTAAAAATTAATAAGAACTTTTTCACTAAAAATTGCAACAAAATTTCGCAAATAAATGTAATATTTATTATAATAAAAATCAATATTTAAATGGACAAACTATTTAATTTTTTAAAAACTAATTATTTATATTTTAAACGATTTGTTGGGCAGTGGGTTACTTTTTTTTTAAGTTACTCAATTGCGAACCTAATTTTACGATTAGACGGCGAATTGGTATATAAGCAATATAAGGCACTTCCAGCTATTTTATAAAAACATTTAAATTCGCGACAATGGACTTCAAGTGCTATGTAAGTTCGCTCAGCTGATAGTCGTGAACCGAGCCTGATTTTAGATACTAATCATTTGCAGATGCTTTTTATATCGCTTTTCTTGACTGCAGCTGTAGCCATGCCAGCTACGTCTTGCGAGCCATTTTGCGGCGAGGGACCCTACAAAGTTAATTTTCCTCTTCCGGGAATATAAAGTGTTTATTTATTTAAATTAACAGAAATAAAAATACAGAAATAAATCCAGAAGCTGTTTGGGAACTAAATATTAAAATGACTTTAAAAACGGAAAATTTTTGAAAAAAAATACAATTGAGTTAAACACAAGGTTCTAGAGTCCAAATTAGGCGTACATTATTAGTAATTTATTAGAAATTGAACTTCATTATCATATTTGTAACTGCCATAACGTCTTGATAATGATAATATGGGTATTTATTTGAAATATTACATAAGTCTGGGTTGCTAAAGGTTAAATAAGTATAAACAAGAGAGAACGTAGTTACTCAAATGCGTATCTAATTTTTCTGTTAGGCGGCGAATTGGTATATAAGTAGGTAAGAAGGGACTTCCAGCTATTTTATAAAAACATTTTGTTTGCCGAGAATGGACTTCAAGTGCTGCGTAAGTTTATTAGGAGCTTTACTAGGCGATTGTGATTAGTAATACTTCTTTGCAGATGCTCTTTATATCGCTTTTCATGGGTGCAGCTGTAGCCATGCCCGCTAAGCCTTGCCTGGCACATTTCTGCGAACCCGGTCTACCCTAGGCGTACATTATTTGTAATTTATTACAAATTTGTAATTATTTGTAATAAATCGAACTTCACTATCATATATGCCATGGGAACGATCTGCATAATGTCTTGATAATGATAATGTCGGTATTTACTTGAAATATACATGAAATATTAAAGGTTTTAAACGGTGTGTACATTATTTTTAAAGGAAACACGGTATTTTTCGTAACCCGACCTGACCAATGATTTTGATTCATAATACTTATGTGCTGCTGCTTTTTATATCGATTTTCTTGGCTGCGGTCGTTTTCAATACACTCTGCCTGCCCACAATTCGTCCCCACAAAGTTCAAAATCCACTTCCGACAATATAATGTGTTTAACTTATTTAAATTAACAGAATTAAAAACAAGAAGGGAAGCTACCTTCGGCCAGCCGAAGCTTATATACCCTTGTAGATTATAGAATGCTTACTCGGTGCAGTTCCAGGGATTCCAGATTCAGCGTTTCTATTTATTTAAATTTTGCTTTTAAGTAGTCAAGAATCAAAACGCCTACTTCCTACAAAATTACAATGAATTTTCTTATATTTGTTTGAATATTCCTATGGGAGCCTTAAGATATAGTGGTCCGATCCGGCTCGCTCCGACATATGTACTACCTGCAATAGAAAGAAGAATTTCGGGAAAGTTTCATCGCGATAGCTTTAAAACTGAGAGACTAGTTCGCACAGAAACGGACAGACGGACAGACGGACATGACTAGATGGACTCGGCTATTGGTGCTGATCAAGAATATATATACTTTATGTGGTCGGAAACGTCTCCTTCACTGCGTTGCAAACATCTGACTGAAATTATAATACCCTCTACAAGGGTATAATAAATAAGCTAAACAAAAATAAACTGTTTTTGAACTAACTTTATATTCGCTGACACCGTACGTTCGTAATCCAACCTGCCTTATAATTCTGTATCTTTGATTCTTTGCAGCTGCTGTTCATATCGCTTTTGTTTGCTGGGATTGCCTTGATAATGATAATGAAGACATTGTATTTAAATTAAATCTGTGATATTTGAGTCTTTAAACGCTATGTGAAGTTGGTAGATTAGCACAACTCTAAGTGGCATTGCATGTGGAACGAATGAATTGGAAAAGAATAATTAGTTACTTAATTGCGAACCTAATTTATCGGTTAATTATCGGTTATGGTATATAAGCAAGATTACGGACTCCCAGAAGATTTATAGAATATTCTTATTCGGCGACAATGGACTTCAAGTGCTCTGTAAGTTCTCTTAGCTGATAGTCGTGAGATTTTGATTAATAATACTTCTTTGCAGGGGCTTTTTATATCGCTTGTGTGGGCTGCAGCTGTGAGCAGTCCGCCCAATCATGTCATTCTGCCATTCTGCCATCCGCATTGCGGAGACATTGTTCCATATGTGGCAAGCACAATTTGAAATACCGAAATAAATCCAGAAACTATTTGGAAACCAAATATAAAATTGCTTTCAAAAATAAATTATTTCAAACTCATAGCAAAACTGTTAGTAACAACCTTTTCACTTGAATTCAAATATAAGATAACAAAAATGCAAGCTTACTTTGGCCGGAAATAGTTTATACTAGCTTTGTAATATATTCAACCGATTTTAATGCAAATATTTTATTTATTTGAAATAAACAATCGATTTAATGCAGATTTACTGCTATTAGTCTAATTGTTTGTAAGCCTATTTTTTTTGTTGTGTTGTGTTTTTTGTTATGATGGGGAATCCTACAGGCAATTCATATTTGGGTATACTTCTAATTTGGTATACCAATTACTCTAGTAGTGCAATTTTTGTGACCATCAATGTAATGTGTGCAACTTATGTGAGTGCATTGATATCTTTCCGAATTCCAATCACAGTGATATCGGTAAGAGGTTCCAGTTCCCATGACTCCTGCTCCCTTTGATGTTGTAACGCTCGTTGTGCATTTCTGTTTGCCATCGAAGGATTGTGTGCAACGCACATAGGTGCATTTATATTGCCCTGTATTCCAATTACAGGAATATCGGTAGGAGGATCCAAGGTTGGCCACAGCAAAGGCAAAGGCCATCAGGCAGACTAGTGCAAGCTGAAGCTAGAAATGTGTAATATATGTATTTACTATTTATATATTAAGCTCTAACTTCCTCACCATAAACTGCATTATGCAAATGAACTGAGCTCAGTGTTGCGAACTTTGCCTTTTATAGCATAGTACGTAAAAAGTTAGCCTGCAACATTTAATACCCTTACAATATTCAATAATTAATAAACTAGTTCAAAAATTTGATAACAAAAAAATGGAAACATATGATTTTATTTATTTTAATTTTATATTTTATTCCCCATTGTTAGAAGAATATTTTACTAAAGAGATGAGAAAAAATATAATACTCGTATCTGGCTAAATAGTCCATTTGTTATCGCCAGCTTTTCTGGAAAACAGTGTGTATGTTTCCCTTTTAAAGTTCTTTAATAAGAATTTGCTGATCTCAGAATTTACAACGCTAAACTTCTTATAAATCCAAGATAACTCTGGATTCTTCTTTTAAACATCACAATATTCTATAATCGATACATTTATTTTAATGTTAAATTATAATAACAATTAGTTAAATCTTCCAGGAAAATCATAATGAGATATTTCGCTTCTTGCCATGTTTGGGCTGACCCCATTATTTTCATTGCGTAATTGATTGCTATTTGGAGTTGGATAGGTTGGATTCGAATAGCCGTCGCTTATGGAACACTCTTGTCTTCCGTTAATCAAAGTGCAACGCTGTTGAATGCAGTTTCTAGTTCCGTTGAGACTTCTGCATTGGGTCCGGTATGAATAACCACCGATCACAGGCCTTTGATATCTGTAATTGGAATTACTTGCCAAGTTTTCATTACTGGCTCCTAAGACTCCTGAGTTCGGCATGTATCCACCATTTCCAATCGATCCACCGGATACCGGAACTTCACTTATTGTGCACTCTTTTTTGCCATTAAACGAATGTGTGCAACTTTCCTTGGTGCATTTAAATCTTCCTGTTTTCCAATCGCAAGACGTACGGTATGAATTCGCTTTGGCCATGGCCCATTGCCATTGATATTGCCATTGGGCCTCACCAAAATCAAAGACCAGTAGTGTGAGCACTAAAATCTTAAAAAACAAATGAATTTTTAATATTTCTGTAAGCTGTACCGCGTACCTTTAGTAGACTGCCCGGCAGTGATTTCATTTTAATAATGTTATTAAATGGTTTGTGCACAGTTACTTTATATTAAGTCCAATGGTGTAAAAGTGATACATCCTTTAAATACCCTTACAATGGATTATTATTTGATCAGTGACAAAAAAATGTTAAGTAATAGAATGTAATGATTTGAAAAATATTTTGTATAATAATAAAATAGCCTGGTCGATTATTAAGCTACTTGTAAATATTCTTAGTTGTTTGATGTGCTTGAAAAATAATATGAAGTATTTCAATTGCATTTTAAGGCAATCAAAAATTTAGCTCACTTAATTTCCAAGAGGTTGGAGTCTTATCAGAATAAATATGCAATAAAATGTATATATAAATATCGCGTGTAAAGAATAAAGATGAATAAACTTTCATCAGACACAAAGCTTTGATAATTTTTTGTTGTTCATTGGCAATAAAACATTTTTATAAAAAATCATGCATATAAGTAACGGTAATCATTCAGGAAACTTTTAAAATTGTAATCGAGATTGTATTACTACAATCAGTTTAGCTATTAATCAAAGTTTGGAATATTGTCAGGACCGTCAATATAACCGCCATTTGGAGGTGTTGATCCACCATTATTTGCATGGCCTCCATTGCCATTTCGAAGTCCTCGAAGTCCAGAATCTAAGAAATAAGTATTTCCAACTGGTTGGATCGGCCTTACCGTGGGAGCAAGATTTCTTTCTCCACTATATGGGTAGATGTGTGAATATCCTTCGAAGGCATTATTTCCGATATGTTTAGGTTTGATTGGCCTTACAGTTGGAGCCAGATTTTTTCCGCCATTATTTGCGTTTGTGTCGTAGATCGGTGAGTAACCTCCGAAATTTCCTGGTACAATCGGCATCACAGTTGGAGCAAGAGTTCTTCCACTAGGTTCGATCGGTTTTACAGTTGGAGCAAGAATTCTTCCACCATTACTTGCGTTTGGGTCATAAATGGATGAATGCCCTTCAAAAACACTGCTTTGTGATCCAGAACCTTGAGCAAATGTACTACCGCCACTAGGAGTGCAACTAATTATACCGTTGGAAGTCGAACATGGAACACAATGTCTTTTCCCATCTTTAATAGAGCACAAGATCCGGGAAGTAAAACTATAGTGCTCGGATTTTTGGGCCGTGCACAGACCAATTGCCAAAAAAGCTACTAGAACAATCTATAATTTAAATAAGAAATACCATTGTTCAAATAAATATTTTTAATCATTTTTCATATGACTGCTCACCAATAATTTCATTATGAAAATAATCTGAGCTCACTTAGTCACGCTTGTCTTATATAGAAAAATATAGATTTTACTGTGACAATTTTGAAATACTCTTCTACTTATACATTTAAAAATAATTGGATCCCATGAATGTGTGGTTTAAGTGGATATATTAATATACATCAAATATTTTTATGCAAGGTTTGTTTAAACTTTAAAACCATATTGTAATGTATTTCACGTGTCGGCGTGGTCTTCAAAAATTAGTATGCTCGAATGCAATGCGGGCAAACAATCTTATCTGCTACTTTTCTTGGAATTTCTATATATTTATTTGTTATAAAATGTACTTATTAATTTCTGTCTCAAGATTGTGAACAGATTTCTAGCTAAATAACAAATGATGTCTCTGAATTTCTATATATTTATTTGTTATAAAATGTACTTATTAATTTATATCTCAAGATTGCGCACAGATTTCTAGCTAAATAACAAATGATTTCACAAAAAAATGTATTTAATTGGAAGAAATGGAAGAATTTTTGTTGAGCTTTTTTTTAAAAATATGGATTTTATCAAATACTTTTTCCTCTACTTTGACCATAATGTACTATTATTATTAATAAACAAAACGAACGCTTGAGCTTTCAGATTTTTATTTTTCAATCTCTTTAGTAACGTCCACCTCCACGTCCTCCCTGTTGATGTCCTCCCTGTCCGCCCTGACCGAATCCTTGCTGGCCGTGTCCTCCTTGCTGTCCACGTCCTCCTTGGCCTCCCTGACCGAATCCTTGCTGGCCGTGTCCTCCTTGCTGACCCTGTCCTCCTTGACCGAATCCTTGCTGACCATGTCCCTGCTGGTTTCCACGTCCTGCGGCAAGAGCCACAGCGATCAAAGCGAAGAAGAAGACAATCTATAACGAAATAAATCGAGGAAAATTAATATACCCTGCCAAAATCTTTTTCAAGACTTTGCGGAACTTACGAAGAATTTCATTTTGGTAGTTTGATTATTTACACAGTTGAAAGTGTTCTAACTAATTCAACGTCGATCGGCAGGGCTTTTATAGCAAAAAGCCGAAATTTTGCAGCTGCCGCCACCAAAACAAAATACTAGAATTTTTGTATTGTTTTCGATGTTTATTCGCTTGTCACTGCAATGAGACGACACAATTTGGCCCAACATCGAGTAACTCTTATGCTATCAGGAAGGGGACCTTGATCTTGCATTTAATTCGCTTGTTTTTGTGTGTTTTCGGAGCTGATTAGGTAAGCCCCGATTAAAAGGTTTGTGACTTTTACTCTAGTTCAAAACAGGGTCAATATTTTTCATGTGACAATGGCGCTGATCTTTAAGCATTCTTTTGGGCTGAATTTATTAATAAAATAATTATATACAAAAAGAAACAAAGAAATAATATAGAGAGTAGCTACATATTTTATTTTTCGAGTAGCAATGAAACCCAAAAACGCCGCGGACAGAAATTGTTATTATATCTATGTTAGCAATTAGTTATTTTATTACATCCTTTGAATATACAATTTTTCTAAAGTCAAGAATTCTTTAAGTCTATAATTTCATATTTACTTTCGCCAGGTTTTTGGTTACCAGGGTTTCTAAGACCAAATTGGCTGCTATCGATGGAAGCGTCGCGGTTCTGAAAATTGGCTATATTTATGCAGCCGGGGATCATGAGGGCCCCCTTACTGCCTGGAATTGGTAGGACGCCCCTAACGCCGGGAATCAATATGGTGCCTCCACGAACAGAAATTAGTTCAGAACATTCTCTGTTAAAAGTGGAAATTGATGGGAGGTTTTGGAATCCAGGAATTGTTGGGACCTTTTCAGAGGATGAGGCAATAGGCAGTTGTTTTCCACGTGATATATTTTCTGAGTTGGGAGTTGGTTGGCCCCTTCCGACGTAGACAATGGGTAGCGTTTTTCCGGAAGCTGATTTCAGGAAAAATCCTCTCACAGCTTTGCCTCTGTGGCTTATTCGTTGCCCCTCGATCCAGGCAGAGTCCAACAAGACAAAAACTATGATAATCTGGAATTCAAAGTACCAAGTGTAAACGTATTGATTCTGAAAAATGACTTGCTCTGCCATCGCCGAGTATTGCTCTCAACTCACCAGTAATCTCATTTCGAGTGATGCTTTGACTCTTACAACTCAGCGGCCACACGAAGAATATTGATAAGAAAATTTTATACGGAGAAAGGCTAAAAAAACACACCTTATCTTTCATAAATATTATTCCTTTTTTGGAAGTACGATAATGCGAAGATATTTAAAGATATTGAGATATTTACGATTCGGAACCTGACAATTGTTGAGATATAATTTGAGTTCCACTTTTTTTTTAATATTCAATCTCAGGTAAACCGCCAAGGGCGGCCCTGTGCATTTCATTAACTTATATATAATTTATCTAATTATGATATTTTATATCAAATTTTTTATAAGGATAAAAAGGATTTTCATTAAAACACACTTTTTTTTTTTTAGAGATAGAGTATAAACATTTTTAAATATATTGTCTTTCTTATTATAAATGCAAAGCTTTACGGTCACAAACGAAATTTATTTTTTAAGCTCGAGGGGCTTTTAAATCTACGATCTCGTATTTGCCACCAATATTTCCGCTGCTTTGTCCGCGACTTGTACTCTCAGAATTTTCCCCGTCACTATTTCCATTGCCTGTGTTTCCGCTTACAGTGGAAGATCCGCCGGAAGGATAGGGCCCACTTGTGTTTCCATCATCGGGACTTTGGCCACTAGGGTATCGAGCAGGAACTCCTTCCTGATTGTTCCAGTTTCCTGGATTTCGCCAAGGTCCTGGATTGTTCCAGCTTCCGGGATTTTGCCAAGAGCCAGGGTGGTTCCAGCTTCCCGGATATCGTGAAGGACCGGGATGGTTCCAGCTTACAGGATTTCTTGAAGGAAAGGGACGGTTCCATCCTCCATGATTTTGTTCGGGACCGGGATTATTCCATCCTCCAGGATTTTGTGAAGGACCGGGGTGGTTCCAATCTCCTGGATTTTTCCAAGGACCGGGATGGTTCCAATATGCAGGACCATGTTCCGGATTGTTCCAGCTTCCTGGTCTCTGCCAGTTTCCCGGGCGGTTCCCAACTACTGGAATTGATCCATGAAAAACACCTTCTTCATACGATCCGCCACCACTTCCTTCGTACAACACGTCATGGGAACTTCGACTGCTCGCTAGCGAAACCGCCAAGCAAATTATAATTATTTGCTGTGAGAATTTTTTTTAAAAATAAATTAAACAAAACTTTTGTTCGCTTGGGCTGTGTTTACTTACAAGCAATTGCATTTCTCTTCAAATTCCAAATGCGTATTGCAATAAGCGAACGCATGGTATTTATACACACATCATTCACAGATTAATGAACCGATAATGGAAGATCGTTGAATGTGTAATATAGTGCATTATCATAGCACACGTAGCAAAACAAACTTTTCTGTTATTTATTTCGGTAAAACATTAATATATATCGGTATTTTCAGACATCCCTAATTTATATTGCCACGAAATTTGTATCCTAAGTTCCTGAAAAAAATGGGACGTTAAAAACTTAACATTCTTGGAATTTTCAACTTTTTTAAAATTTTAAATCTGGTTTGGAAATTAATAATGCAAATTTTTAAGTGTTTTTTTTAGAGTTTTAGTTTATTTTATTACGCTGCTCTTTTAGTAACGTCCGCCGTGTCCTTGCTGACCGTGTCCTCCGTGTCCTCCTTGTCCGAATCCTTGCTGGCCATGTCCTTGCTGACCAAATCCTTGCTGGCCGTGTCCACCTTGTCCGAATCCTTGCTGGCCGTGACCACCCTGTCCGAATCCTTGCTGGCCATGTCCACCCTGTCCGAATCCTTGCTGACCGTGTCCACCCTGTCCGAATCCTTGCTGACCGTGTCCACCCTGTCCGAATCCTTGCTGGCCGTGTCCACCCTGTCCGTAGCCAGCGAAGACCACAGCGATCAGAGCGAAGAAGACAATCTACAAGGAGAGAAGAAAGAAAACGGCAATCTGTGAGCTCCAGTCACCCAAAAATATTTTTGAAGACCTCGAAGAACTTACGAAGAATTTCATTTTGGTTGATAGATTGTTTACACGGTTGAAAGTGTTCTAACTAAATCAACGTCGATGGTCAGGGCTTTTATAGCGAAAAATTGACTGTTTGCAGAGTCCGGCACCAAAACAAAGTAATAAATTCAGCTTTGTTGCTTTTATTTTGTTTATTCTTTCCAATTGAAATCTATATACCCCAAGCTGAATTCGCTTGTCGTTTTTCAGATTAATCGTCCGCGATGAGATGACAAAATTCCAGCACGCCATTGACAGGGCTGATTTCTGATCAGGGCTACGGACCTTTAGCCTGATCTTTCTTTTTATTAATTTGTTTTGCTTATTTCGGAGCTGATTAGCTAAGCGCCGATTGAAAGCTTTTTTGATTTTTATTGAAAACTATAGTTGTATAAAAATTGGCGAAATTTTGTATTTGTTTAATTTGAAACTAGTTATTTAACAGTAGGCTTTTAGGCTGAATTTAAGCTTGAGTACAGAGAAAAAAATTATATAAAATTTTAATACAAATTTAGAAACTTTTTAATATAAAAAGGTATTATTTATACCAAAAGAATATTATAAATATAACAGAAACTATAGAAATGAAAATATAGGAAACTTTGTAGAACGTTAGACTTAAGATTATTTTATTATTTTTTAAAAGCATTTGATTAAATTTTTTATATAATTTTAAAAATAAAAATAATGTTTTACAAAATGTATAACAAACGAAAATATATATAAATGACTTAAGAGCAAACTTCCAAAATGCACCGGATGGTTAAGTAAATGAAATCGGAATTCTCACTTTAATATTGCAAAATGTTCTCTATTTATTAAAAAACTTGATTATTCTATACGTTTTGGGGGCACATGAGCCTTGTCACGCTTTAAATGCGTGGAAATGTAGCAATCACAAATAAAGTCTGTTCCCAAGTCGCCTTCTAACATTTCCAATCTTATGTTTAGGCTCCAAAACCAGAGTCCGCTGGTTTTTTACTGATACGAACGCCACTGAAGGGTTGCTCCATTGGGGCGCAGACTTCTAATCAGTGCCCAAACATTTGAAACTCCCAGACGGATGGAAATTTTTGTGATTTGTTTTTTTTTTTTTCGTGGTTCAAATTTAATGGCGTGTACTTGTGTCCGTCTGGCCTTTTCAATGTACTTGGAGGCACGTGACGACACAACGAGATTGGCGGAGAGTATAAAAAGACCGGAGCGTCCGAAAATATTATTCATACAAGCAAGATCAGCCGTAGCATCAGCAACATGAAGTTTTTGGTGAGTTTTTAAACCTAATTTTATTTCACGACGGATCCAAAGGACTAAATCGGGATATTTACTTTCTCACAGATCCTTTTCTTTGCCCTCTTCGCCATGGCGGCTGCACTTCCTCAGTGGGGTGGTGGATTCGGAGGTGGATTCAATGACCAACAGCAACAACAGCAGCAAGGATTTGGAGGTGGATTCGGAGGTGGATTCGGAGGAGAGCAACAACAGCAACAGCAAGATGGATTCGGAGGTGGATTTGGAGGCCAACAGCAACAGCAACAGCAAGAAGGATTCGGAGGTGGATTTGGAGGTGGATTCGGAGACCAACAACAGCAGCAACAGCAAGGAGGATTTGGTGGCTGGTAAACAGCTAAAACGATGCAAGAAAAATATCGACGCCTTAAACTAAACGCTCCAATAAAAATATGAAATTTTGATGAAACAAATTTAAATATTTTCTTAATTGCGAATCAAAAAATTGGTCAATACCACATAATTTGGCTTTCGTAAACGGAATATGCATGCAGTATATTTCTTTGCATTTGACCCCGACAACAAATATAAATATTTGTATTTTAAATAAGAGCGATTGAATATCCCCAACCTTATTCAGCCTATTTTTAACTAACTTATTCCGATTTTAGACACGCAATTTTATTTCAATCATAGATTTTTCAAGTCAAATTTGAAAAAAATAACATCAATAAAACAATTGCACTAAAATTGTAGTCGAGTGCCTGTTAAAATAGAACTGCAAGAAATTAAATGGTTTAGATTAAGCTTGACTTTTCTTATCGTTTTTTGTTAAAAAGAAAACACATTTTAGTTTGGTACAAATATAACCCAAAGAGATCACAAAAATTTTGAAAGTTCTTTAGCATTGAAATGTTTTTTAAGTGTTAACACAACCACAAATCGAGATCATTATGATTGGAAATAAAAACAACATTCGCCACTAATCAATGGCCTCCTCTGCCGGCACTTTTTCCATATTTTTCCCATCATCCGGGGGAATCTCAATCCTCGGTCCCTCCCCCTCTAATCCGCCCAGCTGTGTGGCCTGCCACGCCCTCGTCCACGGCAAGGACATTACCGACATGACCTTGGACAGCCCAACTGGCTTTTTCTCCTCCGGCAGCTGCAGTTCTTCGCTGCATAAAAGGGAAATTATCAGATGCTCAGCGAAGAGGGCATGTCTCCGCCTTTGACTGCCCGTCATTTCCGTTTCCTGTTGGCAAAGGATTTCCTGCTGCTCCATAAACTGCATGAGAAGATATTGCTCGGCTGGCTTTTTGACTTTGGGTTCCGCAATGACCAAACTAGCAGGCTGCTTCTCCTCTGGAGGATCTACGATGATGCTGGGTGGCAGCTGGTTCTCCACCGTCGACAGCTGTAGGATTAAATCGAAGCCCCTTGATTGAGTTTGCACTTGTCGTCTTCGGCGAATGCGACTTCGGGCAAAGATCCTTCGCAGTGGCGGCGAGTCGGGCTCCAGGAAGTTGGCATGATCGATGTGGTTGAGCAGGAGGTGCCGCGATAGATTGCAAATGGCCACCAGCTCAACGCCTGGCAGTCCGGCACACAGGGGACAGACCACATAGTCCTCCGAAAGGCGATGCTCGGCACACACGTGTTCAATCAGCCGCTTGGCCGTCTGCCCAGATTGTCTGCAATACGGACAGGTGAAGCAATTCGAGAGGTGAACAATTTCCGGCACTTGGCCATTGAGCAGAAAGGACGAAAGATCTTCCGAAGGATCCAGGATTAGCTGCATGGGATGATCGAAGCGATGGTCCTGCGTCTCCAGCCGCTGGTCGTAGCAATCGCCGCAGAGGTCAAAGTTCACGCAGCGCAAACAGCGGAAACGGCGACCCCGGAAGTCGCGCCTCTGACAGCCGTCACAGCAAATGTTGCGGTGGCCCATCCTCGATTTCGATATCGATCGACCCCTTCGATCGACTTCTCTGCCAGCACATGCACTCAAAACTCTGGTCGAAAAATAGGGCAATTGGGTTTGGAATTTCTACACATCGAATCGAAACTATGACATTTTTTTCTTCGTTTTGCTCTCATATTGACTTAATTATACCCGTTAGTCGTAGAGTAAAAGGGTATATTGTATTCGTGTAAAAGTATATAACAGCTAGAAGGAAGCGTTTCCGACCCCATAAAAACGACATTTTGAAAAAGAGGTCTAGTTGGGAAAACTACGGAAACTAAAATTTAAATCTTTTTTAATTATTTTAAGTTTTAAAAAGGCCCAATTTTTAGCCTATAAACCGAGGAAACATTTTATCAGAACTTAATAAAAAATTACAAAAAAATGTTCTTGCTCAAACTGAATTTGTATTTCAGCATGCAACACGCGTTTATTACATTTGCTTCTGTGAGGAAGGGTATTATGTGGGGATTTGTGAACAAGCTGCTCCTGCCACGGCAGCTCCTGCAACACCACCAACTGATCCTGCCGCTCCGCATGCTGCGGCCACTAAGATCTGTTTTGTTTTCTTTCCTTCTGGGGTTCCATAAAAGGCTTGTTGCCTATCACCATATGTAGGCAAACTTAAAGGATGTTGAAATCCTCCTCCAAATTGTCGTTTTTCAATGACGTGGTCCATTGCTGCGTCACCAGATGTAGGCAAACTTAAAGGATGCTGAGATCCTCCTCCAATTTGTCGTCTTTCAATGACATTGCCCATTGCTGCGTAGAAGCAAAGGCCTACGAAAAAGAAGGTGAGCTCTTTCTTGAACAACATTATTGAACGAATTCTTTCTGAAGTATAATAACATTTCTGATAATGTCGCGCATTTTTATACTTTCTGCGCAAAGACAAAAAATCCGGTTTCAACAAGAAATTTGTTTGTATTTTGTGCAGTATAGTCGTAAATAAAAGATTATTTCAAACCCATACAAACAAGTGTTGATTTTTCCACAGAATAAAAAATCCGGCTTCAGCAAGAAATTTTAAATTCCGTAAAAACAACAGTATTTTGTCCTGTGCAAACTACTTAAGGAAAATACAAACATTCGTTTTTTTTTAATCTTTCTAAAATTCTCATGGATTGTTTGCATAAGTTATCAGATGGACAAAATAGAAACAAACAAATTCGTTTTTCGACACAAATCCTTACTCTATTTTTCTTCAAAACATTAGTACTTTGTCCAAAACATATTGTTTAAATATAAAATGAGCATGTAATTAAATTCCCAATCTATTGCCATTCAAGCCTAGAAACATTATTCTAAACAAAATATTTTGTGAACAAAATTAATAAGATAAGATTAATAAGATTTGATGAAATTTACATGTTAACAATATTAAACTCTTTTTCAATTTTGGAGTGTTTTGACTATTGGTGTTTCGCTCTTACCCAGATTAATTTATGGATTTTTTTGCGTATGAATGAAGAGTACAAAAAAACTGTTTATCAAATATAGTTTATCACTTCGCGTTGAGTTCGTAGTTCAATTCCAAATCGTTAAGCGTTTAAATCTAGAAAATTAATTTAATTAATTTATTTAAAACAAGAAAGGAAGCTAGCTTCGGCCAGCCGAAGCTTATATACCCTTGCAGATCATTCCTATTAATTAACAAATCGCAAAAATGTTCAATTTTCTAATATTTCTCATTAATTTTCCGATCGTTCCTATGGCAGCTATATGATATAGTCGTCCGATTTTGATCAAATTAAAATTGAAATTCGAAAATATTTAAAAAGAGTCATATCCTAGAGTAGAAGATAATACAATAAAAACCAAAGAAGCTAGAATTTATTTCCTATTACTTTTCCATTAATTTTCCGATCGTTCCTATGGCAGCTATATGATATAGTCGTCCGATTTTGATTAAATTAAAATTGAAATTCGGAAATATTTAAAAAGAGTCATATCCTAGAGTAGAAGATAATACAATAAAATCCAAAGAAGCTAAAATTTATTTCCTATTACTTTTCCATTAATTTTCCGATCGTTCCTATGGCAGCTATATGATATAGTCGTCCGATTTTGATTAAATTAAAATTGAAATTCGGAAATATTTAAAAAGAGTCATATCCTAGAGTAGAAGATAATACAATAAAATCCAAAGAAGCTAAAATTTATTTCCTATTACTTTTCCATTAATTTTCCGATCGTTCCTATGGCAGCTATATGATATAGTAGTCCGATTTTTTAAATAATTAATTCGAAATTCAGATATATTTAAAAAATAACATTCCCAAAAGTAGAAGGTAATATTTCAAAAAACACCGAAGCTAGAATTTGTTAAAGTTTTTTTTTTCCGATTGTTCCTATGGGAGCCATAAGATATAGTTGTCCGATCCGGTCGGCTCCGACATATATACTACCTGCAATAGAAAGAAGACTTTTGGGAAAGTTTCATCCCGATAGCTCAAAAACTGAGAGACTAGTTTGCGTAGAAACAGACAGACGGACAGACGGACAGACGGACAGACGGACAGACGGTCAGACGGACAGACGGACAGACGGACATGGCTAGATCGACTCGTCTAGTGATGCTGATCAAGAATATATATACTTTATGGGGTCGGAAACGTCTCCTTCACTGCGTTGCAAACTTCTGACTGAAATCATAATACCCTCTGCAAGGGTATAAAAATGCATTTAGATATGAATACATATTTAAGAAATTTGAGGGAATATTTTTAATGTGAGTTCGCTTTGAAATGTTACAATCTATCCAAAATGTGATGGGATGTTCATCCTTCCACAGTTAAAAAAAATTATTGTCTCCAATTCTAATTTTTAAAAATTGAAGCAATAGCATCGCCTTTAAGTGGACGCTTTATCCCTGTATTTTTCGTTTATCAAAGACGAAATTTTAAAGCTATTTAAGCTACGTTATGTTTTCTTCTTTTAAAGATCTTATTTCTTGATAATTAATTAATTACCTAAAAATGTAGCAAGGGTAATTTTATGCACATATTTGTTACCTATAGGTAACGAAAAGGTAAATAAAAACCATATACTCTTGGCGATCTTGCTACCACAGTAGACAACTCTTATAAAGGAATCAAATATTTATGTGAAGCGGAAATTCAAGAGAGGCATCAAGAAAATCAATTCAATTTTAAAACCATATTGTATTGTATTTCATATGGCGGCGTGGTCTTCAAAAATGAATGCAATGCGAGCAAACATTCTTATCTGTTACTTTTCTTGGAAATTCTATATTTTTATTTGCTATGAAATGTACTTATTCATTTCTGTCTCAAGATTGTAAACAGATTTCTGGGTAAATTACAAATGTTTTTAAGAAATAATTGTTAAGTGGAAAAAATGTTTCTTGTTTATTTAAGAACTAGGCCATTTTTGTGAACATCTAAAAATCAATTCAGTAAAGTCGCATGTCTGTCTGTTTGTCTGTCCGTATGAACACTGAGATTTCGGAAACTACAGAAGGTAGAACTTTGGGATTAATCACACATACTCTTGGGCTTCCTACGCAGCGCAAGTTTGTTTCAACCGAGCGCCACGCCCACTTGTACGCCCACAGTCGCTTTAAAGGACTTTTAAAAAAGCCTGGTGCCCACATCTTAACATATTTTTTTGTGCTTATTAATACCTATCGAAATGTAGAAAAAATTTAAAAATCGGACAATCTAATACAAAGTTAAGAGCAAAAAATGAAATGGCCGCTAGATATGTATTTTATCAAATACTTTTCCCCTAATTTGACAAAAATTTATTATTATTATTAATTTAAATGAACAAAACGAAACGCTGACCCTTTAGATGTTTATATTTCAGTGCATTTTATTTAGTCAAAATGTTTAGTGATGTCCCTGTCCCCCACGTCCTCCTTGTTTTAGTTCAAATATTTTTTTTATTCAATTAATTTGGCTTTCAACATTTCTACAAAATGGAATCAAAGCATGAGATCTGCATTTAATTTGGTTCCAAAAATGTTTCATGTTAAAATAATAAATTAATAATAAATGCAAAATTAAAATAATAAATTACTAAGAAAACTAATAAATAGCCTCTAAGTAAAAGAACAATTAAATTAATTTTCTAAGTACTACTTTGTGTTGAAAATATATTTATTTCTACTTTAAGCTATTCACGAACATATTGTTTCTGAAAATATTCCCTGTTCAAATAAACTGCACATAAAATATTATTTTTTCTATTCACTGTTATCGTCTTTGGAAAAAACAATAAGATGTGAGTCAACACCTCTTACTCTTACATCTTGCCGTAAGAAATATAAGCAACAATTGTTGACCTTTAAGTCAAATTGCGATCGAGATTATCTCACAGCAGCATGAAAATTAAATCTGCTATTCCCAGAAAAATAATCAAATAATAAGAATTATTCTTTGCTATCACTATGATTATTTTATTAATCCTCATAAATATTTGCTATTTTTTATTTTGCTAGATTTTAGTGAGCGCTTGCAACTGTAAGCCAAAATCCAATTTAGTCCGCTGGTACCGCTTATATTTATTTAATTGGCTAACCAGTCAGTAGTGGGTTAAGCACATTGGTCCCAACGGGACTTCTCTTCCTTTCGTGCCGCTTTCCGTGTATCTCTCTCTCTCTCTCTCTTTTTGACTCTCCATCTCGCTCTATTCTTTTCAATTTTCCAAGCTGGGTGCGCGGCATTTGTAATGGAAGTCTTCCGGCTTCATGCACCTCCCACTTTTTGGAGTCCATTCTGGTAGTATAGTACACTTAGAAAAATAAACGTCTACAAATCGGTAATGTATCATATCTTACAAAATTTTACATTTTAGGAAAGGTTTCATAAACCCTTTATTATATTAATTTTGTACTTTATTATTCATTTTATTATTATTTAGAAAGAAGTTGAAAATCCCAAAATACTTTTTTAAGAAAGAAACAACTTTCTTTCGTTTTCTTTAATTTTTAAAACTTTTTTTGGTTTAAAAAAAAACATTTAAAACATTTTTTTCATTTTGAAAAATAAGTTTTGTATAGCAAACTATTGTATGTCGAAACTCTATTTTTTTCGAGTGTATGACCAGAGCTCCTATTCCTGCACTGGTGTTGGTAATTATTTTATGGAGTGTGGCGGACGGAGCGCAATCTCTTCGCCTCTGTGTGTCT